CTTTAGGGCACACACAGAAACTTTCAGGTCACTTATATGGTGCTTGAACTAGGAATCCCTAAGCTTATTATCTTCTTTCCCTAATTTGTCCAGTAAAATAAGGATCAACCAGGCAATCTCATACTGTTAGTATGAGAAAAATGTTTGAAGGTATCATATGCATAGTTACCCAGATCCTTGCTTCTTGTAAGTATCTGATTAGGAGTCTCTAGTGGTGATATATTTTTATACTGCAATTACCATATCATGCCATGAATTATCAGTACTGTGTTTACTTTTGGAAATAGAGTCATAAGTGTCTTTAAAAACCTAATCAGATTAGATAACCCATTCTAGAAACCTTGGAACTGATTAAGAAAACTCATTCTCAAAGTTCTGTTCCTCTGGAACCGTTGTTGGTCCAAAATCTGAATTAGTTAGACTGCAATATCAATTGGAGATATACATATTATATATATGTTTATTTATTTATTAGAAGAAATTGGCTCATGTGATTACGGTTAGCAACTGAAAATCCCAGATTTATAGGATGAGTTGGCAAGCTGAAGACACAGGAGAGATGATGGTTTAGTTCCAGTCCAAGTTTGAAGGCGTGAAAACCAGGATCACCAGTAGTGTTAAGTTGAATTCCAAAGGCCAGCAGGATAAGACCCAGCAAGAGCCAATATCCCAGTTTGAAGACCATCAGGAAGAATTCTCTCTTATTCAAGGGAGTGTCAACCTTTTTGTTCTGGTTGGACCTTCAGCTGAGTGGGCGAGGGCTTCCATAGTAAGGAGGGAAGTCTGCTTTATACAGTCTACCAAGTTAAATATTAATCTGATCCCAAAGCATCCTCACAGAAACACCCAGAATAATGTTTGACCGAACATCTTGGTGCTCTATTGCCCAGTCAAGTTGACAGAAATTAACCATCACACTCTGTATTTCTATCTCAGTATTTATCCTGAGATTTTTCACCATAATCTGAGGGTGAATTGTTGGCTGTCTCCCTTTTGAGTCTCCTGTTTGCATTTCCCATATTACCCTCCTTCTTGGTTTATTTTCTCCTTTACATGGAGCTTTCCTTTGAGTAGTTTCCTACTGAAACTAATAGGGTGAATTCGAGGTAAACATTTTGAGATCCTGCAAGTGTGACAATGCTTTTATTTGGACTAATTACATGATTGGTAGTTTGATGGGGATTGAAATCATTTTCCGTCACAGTTTTGAAGCCATTGCTTGTTGTCTTCCAGTTTACAGAGTTGTTGTTGAAAACTCTGAAGCCATTCTGATTTTTGTACCTAGCTTTCCCCTTATCCCCTCTGAAAAAGCTTGGAGAATCACCTCTTCAAGGTGATATGCCTTGATATGGGTATGTATTTGTTTACTGTGCTGTGTAATTGGTGGGTACATTCAATCTGGGAACTCATTTTTTTTAGTTCTGGAAATTTCTTTCCTTTCATTTTTTTGGTGTGATTTCTTTTCCTGGATCATATATTATTTGTATATTGGATTTCCTAGATTTCCTTGGATATTGGATTTCCTGGATTTTCTTATCTTTCCTGTCCTTTTATCTGTGTTTTTCTTTTTGACCTACTTTCTGAGCACCTTCTTTAACTTTATCTTTTAATTCTTTTATTTTGTTTTTCATTTCTGCCACTATGATTTCAGTTTTCAGGAACACTTTTATGTTCTCTGAGTTTTTTTCCCCATATCTTTTCAAGAAATAATCTTCTTCTCCTTCTTCTTCTTTTTTTTTTTTTTTTTTTTTTTTTTTTTTTTTGAGACAGTCTTGCTTCTGTTGCCCAGCTGGAGTGCAGTGGCGCCATCTTGGCGCACTGCAATCTCCGCCTCCCGGGTTCAAGCGATTCCTCTTCCTCCTGAGTAGCTGGGATTACAGGCGTATGCCACCATGCCCAGCTAATTTTTTTGTATTTTAGTAGAGACATGTTTTCACCATGTTGGCCAGGATGGTCTTGATCTCTGGACCTCGTGATCCACCTGCCTTGGACCTCGTGATCCACCTGCCTTGGCTTCCCAAAGTGCTGGGATTACAGGCCTGAGCCACCGTGCCTGGCCTGAAATAATCTGTTTTTATTCCATGCATGAAACATTGTCTCTCATGTCTGTCAGTATATTAATCACAATTTTTAAAAAGTTTTCTTTCTTCTGTGTAACCTCTGTTCCACATTACCTTTTTTCTTTGTTTGAATTTCTGTCTTTCACATCAGCCATGTTCCTCAGCTCTCCGATAGTCCTTGGTCTAAGAGAGAGGAGTAAGTAGCAGATGGGGTGATACGGCTGAACTTTTAAATTAGGGAAATGCCAAAACCCACATCTTTAGGCTTTTTCCGTCTTGGGCTGGTTAGATTCCCTTCTGAAGACCTTATCTATCTGCAACCTGAAGGGGCAAGGCAGCATTCTGGGAAGTAAACAGGAAGTGAGGGAGAATAAGGCTGGGACCTCAGTGTAGGTAGGTAAATGCTCAGTTCATCCCGTTGTTTTTAGGACATCTTCTGTGCCTATTAATGTGCCTGATAATCTCTGAGTCCCAGAACTTTATATTTTACTGTCTCCAGAAAATAAACCTCCAGTCTTTTATCAGGGTAGAGAAGAGACAGTCACTTGGCTTCACAAAGGTGGGAGGTGACTTGTGGGTCAAACTGCTTCTAAAACAGATTTTCAAATTTTCTTCTTTATTCCTGCCACCTGCCCCTCCTTATTCTCTATATCCAGAGTTACGGCTTACTACCAGTTTCTTATCTTACGGTATAAGAAGGGTTGATCTCAGTTTTTTCTGTTGCTAGCTCAAGATTTAGTTTTCTGAGATACACTGAGTCATTTACTACTTAACCAATTTCTTTTCGGCTTCTACAGTTTTGCGCAGTCTCCTTTCCCAGTTTCATTTGTCTATAGGTTTACAAATTTAAAAAAAAATCTACTTTCTTTGCTTTTGTGTGATTTTAGGAGGGAGGAAAAATACATGCATGTATTTAAACATTTTACCTGAAGTCTGTTAATGGCTTCTGATTTTAAAGATAAGTCAGTTAGCTCTGATGTTATGGGTTTAGTTTTTTTTTTTTCTTAGAAGATTTAGTAATAGTAACATATGGGTCTAGTTTTTATTCCTTTGAACATTTGAACTTTTGGAGAATAAAGGCTTAAAATTCCTTCACTAGCTCATGTATTCTCGAATTCCTTGTATTTTTAGTCAACACCAAATAAATATTAAATAAATGAACTTGAGAGCTAACATAAGAGGAGGTATTGAGGCTTACTATCAAATTTGGGCCTGAAAAAAACCTTATGAGAAAGGCAGGGGTCAGAGAGCTAAATGGTTTGCCTGAGGTCACACAACAGAAAGCAGCAAAACCATGATCTCAGCCACCATAAGCATGGTGAGCTGATGAAGACCTATTGCTAGAATTTATTAAAGACGTTGTTAAAAGAATATAACTTACATTGGTTTGCTTCTTAAATGGGAATAGGACATATTAAAATATTGAATATGCAAATAAGCAAAAGGTAGAAAATAAATATTTTCTCTCCTCTCAATATTCTGGATAAGTAACCACTGTTGAAAATTTGATGAACATCTTTCACTTATTTTTTATGCATATGAATGTATAATATATGAAAATTGGATCATATTGACATACTGCTTTAAAACCTGCCCCCTTTCAGCCTGGCAGGTAAGCCTTGACTCACTTAAAAAAAAACAGCCAGGTGTGGTGGTGCATATCTGCACTCCAGCTACTTAGAAGGCTAATGCAGGAGGACCACTTGAGCCTGGGAGGTTAAGGGTGCAGTGAGCTATGACCTTGCCACTGCATTCTAGCCTGGGCGACAGATGAGACCTTGTTTCAAAAACACAAAAGAAAAGCTAAAATGTAACTACCTGTTTTCAATACTAACAATAAATTGTGAATACTTTTCCATGTTAAGCATTTTTATACAACATTGTGTTAATGATGTACTATAATTTATTTAAGCAGTAAACAGTGTTAGCAGTAAGTATCTATATAGTTTAGTTGTGGCTTCCATTTATTTTTCAGGATAAAGTTCCAGAAGCAGGATTGCTGTATTAAAGGCTTTTAAGACATTTCCACATAATCTCTAGAAATATTATACCACTTTATACCTTCACTAGCTATAAGTGACTGTTTATTTCTTCAAATGTTTCCAACATCAAGTATTTCCGTTTTTAAAACTTAGCCAATTTAGCAGCCAGAAAACATTTTTATTATTTAAAAATATGCATTTTGCAGCACAGGCAACATAGCAAGAGCCCATCTCTACAGAAAATAAAAAGAAAAATTAGCCAGGCATGGTGGCATGTACCTGTAGTTCTAGCTATTTGGGAGGCTGAGGTGGGAGGATTTCTTGAGTCCAAGGGTTCAGAGTTACAATAAGCTATGAATGTGCCACTGCAATTCAGCCTGGGTGACAGAGCGAGATCCTGCCTCTTAGGAAAAAAAAGAAACAAAGAAAGGAAAAAAGGAAAGCAAGAATGGATTGATACTTTGTCATCTGTCATGAGTGTTTGTCAATTTATCTAATTCATAGGGACATCTAAACCAAGCGTCTGTTTATGGTAAATGAAAAAAGCAGAAGTAATAGCTGGCAGTGTTTTCTCCAACCCTTCCTAGCTGATCTAACCAGTGGTGCAGTGGATTTATATGTGAGAGCAGTGAGAATGCATATGCTGCAAATGGTACCATACTGTGCATGGCTTTTAATTTATTTATAATTTATTATTTAATAGCTTTCCTTTTAGGGCCTGAGTATTTGAGCCTATGCCAACTTTAAAGTGTAACTTAAGCTTTATTTTTACATTTTGTTGTTACACATGAAACGTGCAACAAAAACATATTAAGTGTAAGGCACGAAAGGTTTTCTGAGGTGTTGAGGCCATTCATCCAGGTGTTCAAGACTGTTGTAGGGAATACTTTTATTTCTAAAGCTAAATTGCCATAACGTTTTTTTTCCTTTTTTCTTTTTTAAATGTTTAATGTTACAGAAGCCAAGGCTGCCCCCAAAGATTGTTTCATTGAAGTGAATTCTAAAGGTGACAGATTTGGCAATTGTGGTTTCTCTGGCAATGAATACAAGAAGTGTGCCACTGGGTAAGTGGAGATGAGGTCATAATGGAATATGAAAGATGATAAGATTTGTCATCTCTAGTATCTTTTTTTTTTTTTTTTTTGAGATGGAATTTTGCTCTGTCGCCAGGCTGGAGTGTAGTGGCACGATCTCGGCGCACTGCAACCTCTGCCTTCTGGGTTGAAGCGATTCCCCTGCCTCCGCCTCCTGAGTAGCTGGGGATATAGGCATGTGCCACCACATCTGGCTAATTTATTGTATTTTAGTAGAGATGGGGTTTCACTGTTTTGGCCAGGATGGTCTTGATCTCCTGACCTTGTGATCTGCCTGCCTCAGCCTCTCAAAGTGCCAGGATTACAGGCATGAGCCACCACACCTGGCCATCTCTAGTATCTTTTACAACTGCTCCCTGTGACCACTGATTTTTTTCCACCCTTAAATACTTAACTTTTCAAACATTTTACAATACAAAGCCTCAGAGAGACTCTGGTGTTAGGAAAAGAACTGGTAACATAATTTGTCCTTTTAGACAGCAGCTACAATCTAGTGGTTTTTAGACTCTTTGTTTATCCTTGTTTAATAATAAAACCCCAGCTGAATACAGTTTTCATTTTCCATTCAATAAAAGATTATGTTACTAAGTCTCTAGATAAAGGTACCTGCAGAATCACCTCTGAACTTCATTATTTTCTTCTAGCTTTGTATAATTTCAAAATAATGAATTAAAACATTTTATATTTCTGTAATTAACATTTGCTTTTTATAAAACAATAATAAAACATTACAAAGGAGGAAAAAGTCATCTATAATTTCAATCCACATATGTTCATTAATTTAAGGGTATTTTCTTCCTCACACTAACATTTTATATATTTGGAATTATTCTTAGGCTAAGCAACTACAGTGAAACAGTGCTTGCTAAGAAGAAATAGCAACAATGACCCCCATACCACTAAATCTGACAGTCGTTTTTAGGTCTTCATGCTATAATACTTGACCTGTCAGTAGCGTTCAGTTATGCTAGCCATTTTCTCCTTCTCGAAGAAAGTTTTTTTTTGGTGACTGTGTAGAATGTCCTTTTTCTCCCCTGACCCCATGTAATTTTGTTTATTTTCATGGCTTCATTGCCTCCTCTGTGAGAGGCTCCGTCCCTGCTGGGCTACATCTGGTCTGCAGCTACAGGGTTCTGCAGCTGCTGTTCCCTCTGCTCACCATGCTGTCTTCTCCCCTCTTAGCCTGCTCAGTTCTTCATCCTCCAGATCTCAGGTGCAGTGTGGTCTCCCTGTGGAAGACTTCTTCCACTTTCTCAACAGGGCCAGCTCTCCCTCTGACAGGTGTTCTTGATGTTGTTTGCTTCTTTTTCATAGAATTTGATATGTTAGGTTTTCGTTATTTTTTCAGTTCATAACATTTTCTGATTTACACTGTGAATTTTTTCCTTTGACTCGTGTTATTGAAAGCCTACTGCTTAATTCCTAAGTAGTTGGTTTATCTATTTGGTTTTGGTGTCTAGTTCAATTCCATTGAGACTTCAGTTCTTTGGAATCTATTGACATGTGCATTATTTACTGAGATGTGCATTATTCAGTTACACATGGAATATTCATCCATACAGACCAACATATGGATGAATATATATGATGAATGTTTCATGTGTAATTGAAAGAAAAAGTGTATTCTGCAGTTGTTAGAGATGTTATTCTATAAATGTCAAATTAATAAATAGTCTTATTCAAATCTTTCATATCTATGGTGGGTGTGTATTGTATCTGTTCCTTCAATTTTCGAGAGAGGTGTGTTGAAGTCTCCAGTTATGATTGTGGATTTGTCTGTTTCTTGTGTACATTTTTGCTGTGTATATTTTAAATTTGTTACTAGGTGCATGCACATTTACGATTGTTATGCCATCCTGATGACTTGACCCTTTTATTAATGGCAAATTCTTTTCATTTGTGGAATATTCTTTGGAAGTATTTGTTTCATTATTTATGTGGCTCTTTTGTTATCACTCTTTCTGACTAAACTGTACAATCCAGTGACACATTTATCTTTTGCATTTAGCATAATGCCTGGAGGAAACATAATAAATACCTATTAATCATTGAATGAATGAAGGTGCAGATGATATGGATGAAGAATGAATGGGTGTAGAATTAATATAACCAATTGAATGAACTGATTTAAAATCTAGGGTTAAGTGGATTAATGCAGACTTGGAGAGAATTTGCTAGACATATACCATATTCTTGTCTTTAGCCTTGTCTGGTATGATATTTTTATGAATATCTTGTTGAAAATATCAATTATACTTATTAGACTTAAAAATTACTGAATAGCTCATTTAAGAGGCATTTTATAATAGCAATACACAAATACTATAGTCATTAAGAATATACATTTGAAGTTAGACTCTTTGGATTTGAATCCTGGTTCAATCACTTAATATCTCTGAGGCTTTGAACAAGTTACTTCACTTTACGTACCTCATTTTTCTCTTTTGTAAAATGGGGATAATAATGGCACCTGTTTCCAAGTATTGTTTTGAACTGAATGAGTTAATGGGTGTTAGTACTAAGAAGAATATCTGGCTCATTGTCAAATTCATCATCATCGTCATCACTATTTTATTGTCATCCTCATTGTAGAATGCATCTAGAATCTAGAAAAGTCTTTCCTAGTCTTTGAAACCACCAGAAACATCTAGAAACATTTAAAGAAAGTATTTCATATGGTCCTACCATCCAGAGATATGCTCTTAAGTTTTTGTTGTATTTTTTTTCCCGTGTATACACATTTATAAACATAAGCCACATGTTTCCTTTCACTGAAACGGTCATCTTTTAGTACATAGACAATGTCATCTTTTCAAGTGTTATAAAAGAGAAATTCCAAATATACAGAGGAGTAGAAAGAATGGTATGATAAATACCAGTATATCCTAGACTAAGACATTATTAATGCTTTATCATTATTTGCTTCATCTACATTTTGTTGAACCGTTTTAAGTAAATTATAGACACGATACTTTACTCCTAGATTCTTCAATATCCATCTTCAACAAATAAGGTCATTCACATGATCACATCACACCTAGCAAAATGAATGATTTCCTAATATCTAGTATCTGATCAATATCAGTATTTCCCTAAGTGTCCTCAAATTGTCTTTTATAGCTGGTATTTTTCAACATCTCGACTCAATCAAGTATCACACATTGCATTTAGTTGTTATGTCACTTAAGTCACTTTTAATCTAGAATACCCTTCTAGACTGATATTTTTTCTTTTCAGTGACACTGACTTATGGAAATGGCTGGGCCAGGGGGCTCATGTTCTGGATTTGTTTCAGTTTCTTCTTGGTGCTGCTTAACTTGTTTCTATCATCTGAATTTT